AAGAAGAAAAGAAAAGAAAGGTCTTGGGTTTGAACTCCAACACCACCACCAAAAAAAAAGAAGATGCAGTTGAGACATATTTGGAAATAATATAATAGCCAAAGTGTGTTCTAAATTTTTTTTTCTATGCTGGGAATCAGATAGAAGGCCTCAGACATGCTAGGCAAGTACTCTACCACCAGACTACATCCCCAGGCTGCAAGTTTCTAAATTTTAATACATCAGATGAACTTGGGGAAAAAAAAAAACAAACTTGGTTAACATTGGCTTTAAGCACTAAACTTTTTCTCTTGTTTCCATAAAATGTCTCTCATTAAATACTTGTTTTTTTCATACCATAGAGAGGCCTAACCTCGATGAGAGCCCACCTGTAGCATCACCTTCTACAATGAGAACTGAGTACTTAACTGTACTGAACTATTCTCATGACTAAAAGTCTACCTCCATGAGATAATGGACAATATGTGTATATTTGCTCTTCCTTGGAATTTTTTTTTTTTTTTTTTGGTGCCAGGAATTGAACTCAGGCTCTTATGCTTGCTAGGCAGGCACTGTCCTGCTGAGCAACATCACCCGCCCTGGAATTTTCTTTTCTTTTCTTTTTTCTTTTTTTTTTTTTTGTCTTTTTGAGACAAGGTCTCGCTACGCAGTTCAGGTTGGCCTTGAGCTCACTTTGTAGCCCAGGCTGGCCTCCAACTCACAATGATCCTCCTGCCTCAGCCTACCGAGTGCTGGGATTACAGGTGTGAGCCAATATGCCTGGCTAGCCACCATACCCGGCTTGTATTAAGCAAATTTAAGTGCTTGGGCCTTGTTAATCCATCTGTCAATTTAGTTGTTTGCTTCAGCCAGGATCCTGAAGAGGGAAGAGTTGTGCCATAGGGATAAAAATAGAATCTCCCACAGACCTGCAGCAATACTGTGGGCAGTACGTGGGTGTGGAGAGTGAACAGAGGGCATCAGCCCCTTCCAGGAGCCCTGGAAACCCTAACTGAGGCATGTGCAGGTGGTAGGTAATTGGTTGGCTTCCTGTAACAGCCATTAATGGGGTTTCCTGCATCCAACACGCCCCCACCTCGCCCAAGCCAAGCTCCTTGGTCTGGCCACAGTCACTCTAGCCCCACCAAGCCGCTCCAGCATCACAGTCTTCATCTGGTCCGTATACCCTGCAGAACCTTCTAGCTCTCAGTCCTTGCCTCCTCTTCCCAATCCATCCAGCTTTCTCTGCTGCTGGAAACATCTTGAGATTCTTCCTCCTGGAGCTCCCATTCAGAAGTCTCAGCTGAGCATGGTGGTGGATGTCTGTAATACTAGCACTTGGGAGGCTGAGGCAGGAGGATTGGTGTGAGTTCAAGGCCAGCCTGGGCTAGAGTTAGTTCAAAACTAGCCTCAACTACATGGTGAGACCCTGTCTTTTTGTGTGTGTGTGTGTGTGGGGGGTGTCTTTTTGCCACAGGGTCTAACTATGCAGTTCAGGCTGCCTTGAACTCACTCTGTAGGCCTCACACTCACAGCGATCCTCCTGCCTCAGCCTCCTGAGTGCTGGAATTATTAGGCATGCACCACCACGGCCAGTTTGAGACCCTGTCTTTAAAAAAAAAGTCTCAGCCGGGCGTGGTGGCGCACGCCTGTAATCCCAGCACTCGGGAGGCTGAGGCTGGAGGATAGTTTCGAGTTTGAGGCCAGCCTGGGCTACAAAGTGATCTCAAGGCCAGCCTGAACTGCATAGCGAGACCCAGTCTCAAAAAAGACCAAAAAAAAAAAAAGTCTCTAAGAAGGCAGGATTAAGCCCTTGCGCGTTGCTAACGTTTCTCAGTCCAGCCCCTGGAACTGCATCCAGTAGTCCACGCCGCACGATCACGTACAAGTCAGGTTACCTAGGAGCTTAAAATCCTACCAGCTGGGTATGCAAACGTCAGCACCATAAAAGACTGCCCAGAGCCCTTGCATATCATTGCATGAGCCTAAGCTCACAAAGTCCTTTCACGGTGACCCTCAGAACACCCTATATCCTGTAAAGCTCCGTAGCGAGACTGAGAACATATAGCGTTTGGTGGCATAAGCAACTGTAAATTGTCCCTATCCCCTAACCACAGCTCCTTCTTGGTCCCAAGCCCAGCCCCCTCTCTTTCAGGCAACAAGAGTCAAGAAAGTTCCTTCCGGGTCACCAGTTCCCGCCAAAATGACAACGAATCAGAAGGATCATTTCTCTAGTGAAGATGACCCATCACGATTGGGATTTTAGCCTGGGGCCCGCCCTATAGCTGTTGGAGCCAATGGGAGTTGCGTTCGTGATGAGCCAATCAAGACGTGGCATACTGCCTGGTGGCCGGCGGTTGAACACGCCGTGTGTGCTCGAGAGGAGGCGAGAGCCGCGGTGAAGGCGAGTGGAACCGTCATGGTGAGCCAGAAATAATGGGGCTGGGCGTGTGAGGAGGGACCCACTGTGGGCCCCGGGACATTGGTGAAGCCCTTGGGGGGCTATGGGATGTGGCGTGACGGTCTCGCAGTAAGGACGGTGGAAATGTAATACGTGGTGGTAAATCTCACTATCTCCATGAGGTGCGCGGTTTTGTTTGTGTTTTTTTTGGAGACAGAGGCTCGCTGTGTCGTTCAGGGGCCGGCCTGGAACCCGCAGTGACCCTCCCGCTGCTGCCGCCTCTCGCGTGCTGGGAGCACGGGGTGTGCGCCACCACGGCCGCTGGGTTATTTTGTGGTTGTTGTTGTTTTATACTTTCAGGGTGTTTTTTGGTTTTAAGCAAAGTCAGTCAAACAGGAATAGATATATTTATTCTTCCTGCCTTTTTTTGCATTTTTCTTTTTTTTGTTTTTTGGGTTTTTTTTTTTTTGTCTTTTTGAGACAGGGTCTCGCTGTGCAGTTCAGGCTGGCCTTAAGCTCACTTTGTAGGCCAGGCTGATCTTGAACACGCAACAATCCTCCTGCCTCAGCCTACCCAGTGCTGGGATTACAGACATGCGCCACCAAGCCCTTGCTGCATTTTGCTTTTCATTGTAAAAAGAAGCCCAACTGGGCTCCCTGGTGTAGTGCCTCTACTCCTCCTGTTTAGGGGACTGGTCTTGGAAGGTCTTTTGGGCCAGGAGTTAGAGGCCAGCTGAAAACATAGCAAGACCCGGGGAGGGGACGGGAGGTTGTAGTTATGCATAGAAAGATCCACATTGTTTGGGGCTGCATAGTACTCCAGTGGGTGCCTGTACCTTACTGTATATTATTCAGCCAGTCTTTTACTTAACTGGATACTGGGGTAGTTTATAATTATTTACATGGAAACCAGCAGTGAGTAATCTGTTTGCTGGTATTAGGTGTATGTGTCCTAGTTGACTTTAGAAATGGTTGTCTGATTTTGTAGATATCATCAGATTGCTTTTCATAAATGAGAATTATGAGATGAGAATTCGTAATTCCTGTTCTCCCCTTCGAGGGTAGGCTTTTGCCTTTAATTTGTTCCTTTTTTATATCCCCAGATCATATATACCTTCTAGGTAATTATTGAATCAATACATTAATAGTCTACATATCAGTGAAAACCATCTAATACCTCTCTTTGTACATATTAACTACAAGTGGCATGAAGACAGTTTTATGTGGAGAGAGGCCAGAAAGACTGTTTTAGGGGACTTTACAATTTACATTCCTCTCTGTCTGTCTCACAGCGAGATTGAACACAGGACCTTCACACTAATCGATATCCCCAGCCCATTATTTATTTATTTACTTTTTTTTTGTCTTTTTGAGACAAGGTCTCGCTGTGCAGTTCAGGTTGTGCTTGAACTCACTTTGTAGCCCAGGCTGGTCTTGAACTCTCAACAATCCTCTTGTTTCAGCCTCCCAACTGCTGGGATTACAGGCTTGTATCACCATGCCCAGCTTTGTGTGTGTGTGTGTACTGGGAATCGAACTCAGGACCTTGCACTTGCCAGGCAGGTGCTGTACGGCTGAGCTACATCCCCAGCCCCACGTAGAACTACTTTTTA